TTTTATGCCTTAGATCAAAGTAGAAGTGAGGATTTTTTAAAAGTCACTTTTTGCTGGAACAGCTAATTCAAATTTCCTAGAACCAAGCAAATGAGACAGAACTCAGGAAGCAAAGGTCTTACAGCGTTACTCCAGCAACCAAGCTCCAGCAGGGAGACTGGTGAGTGCCAGAGGACAGAATGACCGGCCCCTGCCCAGTGTAGTGGAGCTCTGCCCCCCGCCTGGGGCCTGGCCATACCAGGGCACTTCTTCACTGGTTTTGGGGTTAACATAGGAGTTTTTATTTCATGCTACGTAAGCAAACAGCAAGGGGGTTTGAGTGCCTGCTCTGCAGCAATAAAAATATTTGGGAGTCCTGAGCAGCAGAGCACAGGGTTTAGATTTAATAAATGGTTGTTAACGTCTGAGAAGCAATCTCAGCAAACATGCAGGCTCTGTCTCCCAACAGGAAATAAAAGCAAATAAGATAATACCATGCCTAGCCATCAGGGACCAGAACAGATATGCACAGAGAAGTTACACAGGGCGAAGACAGAGATGGGAGTTCCAGGAAGAATGGATAGGGGGCAACTGCTGACAGGGGAGCACGTTTCTTCTCCTCTAAGACAATGTTATAACTACTTTCCCCAAATTTTGATTCCTTAGACATTACACTTATAAAACACGCCATCTACTTCTCAAATGAAGTATGGGCATTCTTATTTTCTAAAGGGGTAGATGGTAGAGAAAGCAGCAATCTCTATCTTTAATGTGATGCCAAAACACAAAGCTGGTGTTGGCTAAAGAGCCTGATTTGATTCTGGTTGCTTCTTTTAAATGAAATCCCAACCAACAGCAGGGAAAGCCAGAACAGGAGGAATACAAGATGGTAGAAAGAAAACCCCATCAGCTTTTCAATCCTAATTATTCACTGACTATGATGAACATCAAATAGGAAAAGAAAAATACTCATTTGACAGCCTAAATATTGATAATTTTATTTTCACGTCAGAGAAATAATGTTTCTAGTATGAAGCACAAAGTAGTTTATTAACATAGTTAATTCATGATGATGTGGTGTGGGTAGTCCTGGAGGGTCAGGCACAGGGCTAATGCTGAGAGTGTGGCCCTGGGTCTGTTGAATGGGGACCATGCAGACCAGACCTCGGGGGGAGTTGGGCACCCTGGTATTTAGCCACAGCAGCCTTACATTGAAAAAACTCTGATTATTAGTCCCAAGGTAGATTTATGTGCCAAATTGAGAAAGTGCTTTTTATTAGGTACAGACATGTTATTTCACTTTTTTTTTTTTGAGACAGAGCCTCAAGCTGTCGCCCTGGGTAGAGTGCCGTGGCATCACAGCTCACAGCAACCTCCAACTACTGGGCTCAAGTGATTCTCCTGCCTCCGCCTCCCAAGCAGATGGGGCTACAGGCGCCTGCCACAATGCCTGGCAGGCCTCGGTCTGGATTTGAACCCGCCAGCTCAGGTTTATGTGGCTGGCACCTTAGCTGCTTGAGCCACAGGCACCGAGCCAATTTCACTTTTTGATTCAATTCAAAAATACAACCTTATTTCTAAGGATCAGCCTTACTCCATTTTGGCTTCAGAAACAGTGATGGACAGCCCATCACCTATTTTATCTCAGAGATCTCAGGTCAAACATTTGCTGCTTCCATAACCTGTGTCTGCCAATCACTTGGGAAGCCCCTACAATTTGAGATAGCAGAATATGGGAGCCCCCTGTGGTTTGGGGGAAGGAGAGGGGCATAAAACGTGGATCCCAAGAGGAGAAAACATTTTGAAGGGTTAGAACACATGTGAAACTTATGCCACATAAAACAGGTGTCACTTTTACTTTATTTAAGGAAAAAAGGGGAGGGGATAAGGACAACAGTAATTTCATAATACACTGTAGACAAGTTAGCACTGCAAAAAAAAAAAAAAAGAAAGAAAGAAAGAAAAGAAAAAAAGACACTTGTACTTGCCACCAGTGTGCATGGCAGCCTTGTGATTAGTAAATTTAATGTGGCTTGTCATTTATAATTAATTACCGTTTAGCAAATTTGTAATTGGCAAAATTAGGGATTATGAATCACCATAAGTGTGCTACAACTAAGACAAAAACCTAAATAATCTATTAAAAAATCACTTAAAATAAACCATAAATACATGATGCACATTAGTGTAACTATTTGTGTAAACATTTTCTCCAACATAATATGTGCATGAGAAAAAATTAAAAACACTGCACTCAATACAGAAAGGGTCACTTAGATTTAAATACAGAAAGGTATTACTTATTAAAGCTCTGACTAGCCCTAGAGAGCACTCCTGTAACATGTAATGATATCATCGTAATACTGTTTTCTTTTGTAATTCTGCCATATTGGCACTTTGTGGAGAATTCACTACCCTATAAAAGGGGTAAAGAAAAATCATTCCTTCCCTAAAAGTATCTGAAAAATTACAACAGCTCATGCTCTTTTAGGGGAGAAACCTCACTGGGCACCTGCATCAGCTGTACTGACTCAAAACTGGTTTGCAGGTGGTGAGGCTGAGGAGACGAGGACCAGCAGTCAAGCAAAGCACACAGCAAGACCCCTCTCCAGAAGGACAGATGGCTGACTTCAGTAAACTGAGCCCAGCTCCCCTCCAACACCGAGAGAGTGCCCACCAAGTGCCAGCTTATGCCAGCAGGACATGCACAATTCTGACTTCAGTTCAGACCCCAACTCCACGCCCTCTTCAAGGAGAGCCGGTTTTTGTCCAGTTCTGCACAGGCAGTCATTCCAATGAAACACCAGTTGCAGTATTTGCATACCACCTGACTTCAAAATCACTGGGCTTCCAGTCTGTCTAGTGCAGGACCATGATCCACCTCCTTTGATACTTCTTCCTATTGGCACTGCATGTTTAGTATTTCTTCCAAGGCCTGTGCCCATCTTCACCACTCTCGAAAGCCAGGAGAGAGGCCGTGTCACCTGTGCCCTTCTTTCTTCTCTTGCCATGTACATGTGTGTTCACTATGGCACGTTTCACCTTATGAAAAGCCTAAACGTGAATTGAGAAATAGCCAGCAGGTATTGAATTCTGACCAAAGTCCTGCGGTGATGGGATCCAACCTACTGCAAGTCTCTTTCAAAGGTGAGATTACTCTTCAACGTTCTCTAGGTTAACTATAAATTAGTAGAAAAGAACCGGTTCTGCCTGCTTTGGCCATCAGCATGACTCCAAAGTCATACGAACGGAACATCAATTTTCATCTCCTTGTTCCTCCAAAGCGAGTAAGGTTTTCTCAGGTTATCCTGTCTTTGGGGGTGTACAGACAGCTGTTTTGTCTGCATTTGAGTGTATGTATTTTTTACTAGATTTTTGTAGTTCAAAAAAGAGCCTTTGACAAACATGCTAGACCAGGAGGAAGAGAAAGACAGGGGTCAGAGTGGGCACCACAGGGGATGAGAAGCAAATAGATGCAAATGACAGTTCTGGGGCGGGGGGAGAAACCCCCAATTTCCAGGCTACAAGAGAAATTAACTGGAAGATTAAGGAGGAAGAGTAAGCCAGAACCAGCTTCTGTTGGTGAACAAGGTTTAAGGCAGCTATAACACATATTCCCACTCAGAATTCAACAAGAGGAGAGTAACTGCAGAACCAGGACACGGAGCTCTATCCCTTCACTAAGATATCACTATCCTTAGGGCAGGTGAGTGATGACCAGGAAGCCATGAAACAAATTATTACTCAAGACATTTATTACAAATGTCATGAACATATTCATAAGGTAAAACTGGTTTAAAAAACAGAGAACAAGAGAGCAAGTGAGAAAACAAGAAAAGCCAGGACTTCCATATTACACCTATAACACAGGAAGATGTCAACTTTATGAATAAGCAGAATTAACTACATTCTTAAAATAGTTTTAGTGCATTGCCTTTTTAGAAAAGGGGAATATCCCAAACCCCAAGAAAAGGTTCCTGCAACACTGAACAGTTTGTGTGACTATTCTAATGTGACCACCTGTCTGCTACCAAACCCCGAATTGAGAACAGTGAGATCTCTTTGTTGTGGGCTGCAGTCACCCCATCAACCTTCCATGGTGAATGTGGTGAAAACAAAGCCTTCTGCTTTCCGCATGTAGAAAGGGAACTGTATCTGCCACAAGGCTACGCCCATCTTCATGGACAGTTCTTCTCGTGCCTACTAGGCTGTGATAAATTAGCAGTCAAACTCCAATCTGAGAGTTTTGGTATTGAGATTAAATTAAACATTAATGGTTTCCTCCCAAAACATATAAACTAAATCACCTCTCAATGCATTAGAAACAATGAGGTAGGCAAAAAAATAAACATGTGGTTTGAATTTTTTTTTTCTTCTGCAAGTGCAGACTGTGGTAAAACTGCTGTTGCACTTCTAGGTTTAAACAAAAATTAAACCTTTAACTGAGGCAGTGCTAATACTGTCACACAACAAAGTTCTGGCCATTATACAAAATGCACATATTTTCTGTTTCCTTTTTTTTTTTTTGTTTAAGAACCATCCGCACATGATTTAGGTAAAACCTGATACACAGAAAATGACTTAGTTCTCGGCCAGGATCCCCACCCACCAAATCCAAAGAAACAAATGGGACCCCTTAACCCACCCCACCCGTCTCCCAAGCCCCGCCCACAAAAAAGTTATCCTAGTAACTGTGTCTTTCACATTTTATAAATATTAACTTCTTAAACCTGCACCTTCTTTGTCCACATATTGTCACATTACAAAAAAAGAAATGTCAATTAAATACATTGTTAATGTTACTATATTAAATCTGCTCTCTGCTTCAGCAAACTGCTCCTTATAACACCACTTCTCACCTCCTTGTGCCCACTGCCAAGAAAACCAACGGCATGTTCGCCGTCGCCACCGCCAGATACCCATAACACAGAGTCATTCAGAGACAAGGAATTCTGGAGCTGCAGGGAAGGTGTTTGCTTTCTGGTCTGATGCTCAATCCCAAACACTTATAGCACCTGATGGTAGGATCGGAACAGCACCAGCTGCATTGCAGCCTTGATTTATTTTTGAGTAAAGAAAAAAAGAATGGAGATAAACTGGTAAACGGGAGCAGGAAGGAAGGGAGACAGAGAACCCAACGCATGAGGTCTGCACACAACTGCTGTTCTGGTTGCCCTGGTGCAGCTCTGAGCTCCAGTTGCAAGGAATTCCAAGTTCTCAGGATCTTGAAGACTCTGAAGGCCAACAATGTCCGCATCACACTGCTTCTACCAGCTCAGAAGAGAAGTCCTGCCTAGGGTCATGAAATAAACCTGACTGCTGCCACCAGACCGAACAGAGGCGAAGAATACCTGCAAAAGCAAGAACAGAAGAGAGAGCATGGTTACCACGGCCACACAGCACCTTGCACGGGAAAGGGCTTCCTGTGGGTCCCAGCCAGGGAGTCTAAGCCACCACCATCCTCACATAACACTGCCAAGTGCAGAGAACTTACACTCCAGAAAGCCTTTTCAAAAGAAACTCTGGGATGTTGTCAATTTATCATTTGTAAAAAGTAATCATCCGTAGCCCATTTTTATTACAACTAAGGCTTATTAACTGGGTAACTCCTTATAAGTTGCCATATTGTGAGAACTCAAAGGGAAAAAAACCTGATGTTTTAGAAACTGAGTTGGCTAGGGCATCAGCCACATACACCAGGCCTACCAAACAACAATGACAACTACAAAAACAAAAACAAAAACAAAAAAAGAAAAAAAAAAAAAAGCTGGGCTTTGTGGTGGGCACCTATAGTCCCACCTACTTAGGATGCTGAGGCAAGAGAATCACTTAAGCCCAAGAGTTTGAGGTTGCTGTGACTTGTGACAACACAGCACTCTACTGAGGGCAACATAGTGAGACTCTGTCTCAAAAACAAAAAGAAAGAAAGAAGGAAACTGAATTTATCTCCTTCCACTGTTAATACCCTCTAAAAAAATTTTGGGAAAAAAAAACCAGTGAACAATTGAGAAGACCCCCTCACCAACCTAACTTTATTTTATTTTTTTTATACAGAGTCTCACTTTGCTGTCTAGGCTAGAGTGCTGTGGTGTCAACCTAGCTCACAGCAACCTCAAACTCCCAGACTCAAGTGATCCTCCTGTCTTCAGCCTTCTGAGTAGCTGGGACTACAGATACCCACCACAATGCCTGGCTAATTTTTGTATTTTTAGTAGAGACAGAGTCTTGCTCTTGCTTGGGCTGGTCTCTGATCTGAGCTCAAGGGACCCTCCTGCTCCCCTAGAGCCTAGGATTACAGGTATGAGCCACCATGTCAGGCCCCTAATTTCCTTTTTTTTTTTTAAAAAAAAGTATTAATTATTCCATGACTCTGCAGTTAATATGTTTTGTGCCTATTATTAATAACTGTTAAGGGACATGACAGCATGCATAAAAATATTTAAATACTGAAATGCAAAGATTATTACGTTATACTATAGTACATATACTTAGATAGATGTAAGTAGTACGTATATAGTACATATACTTGTTAAATCTTTGATCTGTTAAGGGAAATGACAGCGTGCATAAAAATATTTAAATATTGAAATTCAAAGATTATTATGCTATAGCTATAGTACATATACTTAGACAAATACAAGCCAAAAAGCTTATAAGACCCTGGATTAGGTCTGAGTTGTACACATTTTCAACATACAGATTTGGGAGATATCATGTAGGGGAAAAAAAAGCAAACCCCACTCGCAAATGAGATGCAGGGCTACAAAAGACAGTGCATTGGTGGTGAGATGACTTTTGCGTTTAGTTTGTGATTGGGTAGGCAGGACCAGGTACCAAGGAGAGAGGTGCAGCTCTTCTTTCTCATGCTGAATTAGTAAATTCAATCTGGGATGGTTGCTAGGATATTTAACGTATTTCAATATGGACACAAGAAGTGGACATGTTCTTAACAGGAAAGTTTCCGAGGCTGTTATGTGCTGCCTCAGGCAGTCAGACATCCCTTTGTCCAAATGGAAATGGACAGAAGAAGAGAGGACTGAGCTTGGTAAAAATCATTTCCATTCTCAATGTCCTTCCCACTGGCAGGCCAGGATAGGTCACAATGCCCTTAGCCCTCTATCTGCTCCATTCCAAGGCTGGTTTGAAAGGGACTTCTGAGAATGAGTGGTCCCCTGGAGAAGATCATGATGTGGCCAGTTTTGGAAAGCAAAGGTGACTTTGATGCCCTGGAGTCTCAGGTATAGTGCTTCTGCATAAAATGAAGTTATTTCACTACTCAAAAGGCAAACGCTACAACAAGCGTTATCTTCCTGATACACATCCGTGGAGAAGAACCTTCTAAATGTACCGGAATTACACTGGCGGCTCTTTCCATTCATAAAAGAATCTGATCTCACAAAATGGATAGCTTTGATCTTCACCATCTCTAAACCTAGACAGGTCACCTGCTAGGGTTTAAAAAAAAAAAAATCTAGAAAATCCAACATATGATGATTTCTAGAGAAACAAATTCCTCTCATAGCAAAAAACAAAACCTATCTCAATCCCCCAAAACACGACGAAAAAGTAACATCTAAGAAGTTTCTTAGTTAATTTATTTCAGAACCTATCAGAACTCCAAGAAAATTTATCACCAAACTCCACGGAAAGGAAATCATTGCTAAAAGACAGAAGCCACTAGAGAGAAGCCCCAAGACAAGCGTTACCTTATCGTTGCGTTCACACAGGAATTTCAGTCTTTGAGCCCTTTTGTGCATGAACACACCGTCCAAGTGACCAGTCTCCACAGATCGGATCTCTATGGCCTTCTCTCCCCAGCCCATTGTCTGATTGGATCGAATATATGCTTTTGGGGAGGAAAAAATTGTAAATTGTTAAAGATAGGAAAACAGCTTATGTGACACATAAAGATACAACCCTACTCCCCCCACCCCTCAGTCCTAGCCTTTAAGGATTTTGTATTTAAGGAGCTTTCCCTCTGTGATTCTCTTGTCTACTCTGAGAAGCAGTCATTTGAATCAATGGTTGCATCTATTCATTTCCCCTATGCCTTTCATGTTTAGCTTGAAAATGATAGTGACTTAACTGCAATAAAAACAAGATAGTTCTGGGATATAAATGTAAAACCATTACAACTTCAAATATTAGCCTTTATTCTTAAAGGTAAACCAGGAGACTGCATGAGGCTGTGTTTCTAGCTGTGGCTCTGCTATACCCAAGAGCAAATCATTTCCCTTTCTTTGTGTCCCTTTACCTTCCACAAATCAGTCAACAAAAAACCTGCCCTATTTTCTCTGGATGTTTTCTGAATTAAATGAGACTATAGCAAAAGAGTTTAAGAAGCATAAAATAATTGGATTTTTTTTCTAACATAGACAGACCTATGGCTATTTCCACAGCCTTCAATCTAACTTTCTACCCCATACTGCCAACTACTATGCTAAATAGTCAAAAGGTCTGAAAGACTCCAAAATCAGCATGATAAATGTATGCAGCCTTAGATAAGCCTCCACCGTTACAGCTGCTGACTTTCCGTGAGTGCTCCGTACCTACAGAGGTGGGCATCTCTCCCCACTGTAGCACCACATCCTTGGTGATCCTTCCGTACGTGTTCACGTAAACCCCTTCATCTTCATAGCACACTAGAAGCTCCATCCCATCTGTGTTGGGAAGGATGATGATTGCATGGGGTTTGATGCTACATTGGATCTAGAGAAAAGAAACAAAGTGCAAGGAAGCATGTTTGTGGCTATTTCCAGCACGATGAAAGTGCTCAGTAAGACTGTCTTGGTAAAAGCACTGGTACCATATCCCTGGAGATAAATATAGCAATTAGGTAACATTTTGAACAACCCATGCAATATATATACTCAAGTCTACCTCTACTTTACAGCAGAAGTCATATACTCCACTGATTCACGTTTTCCAAAGCCCTTAAAACATATTTGGATGGTGGGCTCTGTTTGTCAACCACTCCCAACCCAGGGATTTTCTGGCCTGCCAGCAACTGCCCCAAATCCAACCCATGTTAGTCAAAGCAAGTGCCTAAGAGGTTTAACTCAGGAGGGCTTCGGAGAGCCAGGAGAATGGATTTTTACTTGTCTCAGAGCATAGCGCTACTGAAAATAGCACATCACTTAAATACTCACCCCCACACCAAGGGGAAATGAAGAATCCCTGCTTGTGTTAGTTCACTAAGCAGAGGAAAGAAAAAAGTCAAAACAAAATGAAGCCAGTCAACCAACCATAGAGTGTGGGTTCTTTCTTACGTGTGTTGGTAGATAAATGTCATAGACGGATCCTGAATCCACGTCAACAGCATGGAATCCAGCACAGGATCCATAGATCACTTTCAACCTTTGGCCTTCCTCAACAGTGAGATCCACCAGTAATGGCTTATGTACCAATTCTCCAAATGACTGCAAGGATACAAATAAGAAGAGCAGTAAGACGATGGAGAATTTAATTCTAACAGATTAAAGTAGAGAAGCTAGACTCAACATACTCAATTATTTAATTACTGAGCCACACTGGCAACAATCGTACAGCAAAATTACTCTACAGTAAGTCTTCATTAAATGCTTCTGTCTGTTAATTAGTACCCGGAATGTATTTCTTCCAGAAGTTGGGTCCCAAATGTCCCTTACTCAGCCCCCAAATTCCAGTCTGTCATCTACTACCCTATTGTTTATCTTGATCAGAAAAACATGTAAAGTGAAAAAAATAAGGACTTTCTGTAACATATTGAACCTTTCAAATGCACAGCGTAGTGAGAGGAATTGTTGGAGTCACATGTTTATCACTATTATTATCCTTCTCCCTACTTGAGTCATAAAGACCTCTACCCTTTCTGTCTAGACTGAAAAGGTGCTGGAGACTGCATGGAGTGTAATAGCTGCATCATGCTGGATGGCTTCTGCTCCTCATCAGTGTCAGAATCCATGGGTCTCAGGACCAGAATGATGATGAGATGGAATAGATTTAAATAAGACAATACTTATAAATGCAATTAGTACAGTACTTGGTACATGAAGGATATTAAAACCAGATCTTAGAGGATAATATAATTTTAGAGTCAATTATATTTATTCAATAACACTTAGATTTATTTTTTAAACAAATAGGATAACCCTATTTATCCCACTTTACTGAAAAAAAATCAAGCAATAAGCAATCCCAAAGTGAAAATTTTAGAGATAACTGAAACTTACTCTTTGAATGAAACATACCCAAACTATTTTGAAAACCTAAGCACCAGGCACTGAGAGGTAGAGCTGCAACGATTCTACACCAGGTATGTGTGAACTCCCAAATGAAAAGAACCTTCGTATTTTTTGCTTTTTAAAACAAGGTCGTGCTTTCCACCTGAGCTAAAGTGCAATAGTTTCTTCACAGCTCACTACAACCTCAAACTCCTAAGCTCAAATGATCCTTCTGCTTCAGCCTCCTGAGTAGCTGGGACAACAGGTGCCTACCACCATGCCCAGCTAATGTTTTTCTTTTTTTAGAAATGGGGTCTTGCTGTGTTGCTCAAGCTGAACTTGTACTCCTAGCCTCAAGTGATCCCCTCGCCTTGGCCTCTCAAAGTGCTTGGACTGTAGGCATGAGCTGGCCAACAATCCTCTTTTTAAAACAAATGCCCATTCAATTACTTGTCTAAAACTGCACATAGGCAAAATGGCTAAATAATCTTGGTTTATATTTTAGATCTACAGTTTTTTTTTTGTTCAAACAAAAAAGGAATCATACTTACTATTAACTTTTTCCATTTAATATATACTATAACATTCTTTGTGTCATTCACAATTTTTGTAACTTAATTTTTAATTAGTACTCTATTGAATAGATACAACTTTAAACTGCCTGTTTTGGGACACTTTTTTTTGCGGGGGGAGGGGAACAGAGCCTCAAGCTGTCCCCCTGGGTAGAGTGCCATGGCATCACAGCTCACAGCAACCTCCAACTCTTGGGCTCAAGCGAGTCTCCTGCCTCAGCCTCCCAAGTAGCTGGGACCATAGGTGCCTGCAACAACGCCTGGCTATTTTTTGGTTGCAGCTGTCATTGTTGTTTGGCGGGCCCAGGCTGGATTCGAACCCGCCACCTTAGGTATATGTGGCTGGTACCTTAGCCACTTGAGCCACAGGTGCCAAGCCCACTTTTTTTTTAATCTTTATATACATTCATGACTTTAGGTGAAGAAGGTCTGCTTTTTAAAAGGAGGGTGGAAGTGGTATTGTTTTGTTTTTTCCTTTGTTAACCATATTCATACAATGATCAACATGTCTGCCCAACGTTTGTCTCTCTCTCCTTCTCACACTCTGTGGGCTCAGAAAGCAAATCAAGCTTACAATATTACATTAGAAATGGCCTCTGTTATGCTAAAGCTGTATGCCAATTAGCACATAGCTTTTGTACTATCAACTTTAACTGTACAGAATTTTAAAACTTATTCACTGACTCCTTTCCACAGTTTGCATGGCTGATGTTGCTTTAAATTCACTTGGTGTTGTTACCTTAAAGGCCATAAATTTGTGATATGGCTTGGGTGCCCACGCATAGACTTCCACAGAACTCTTCAAAGCAATTACCAGAAATTTGATTCTTTCATATTTTACTGAAAAAAATAAAAAGCACAAGTCAGTGTCAACATGGAACTCTAAAGCACTTTTGCTGTCTTCTGCAAACTCTAGAACTATGCTTTCTATTCAACCAACCAAACCAGCAGGGGAAAAACACAGCAAGATCATGCCTCAGTTTCCTTTTTCAGTTCTTTAATGTGTAACTATGAGGAGCTATGACAACTCCTGTATTTTCTGATGGTTATTGGGTTCAGCTCCAATACTCTGGATACCATCAATGAGTATTTTCACTCATGTTCCTAGTCTTCTCAGATTCCAAGTATTTTACAATCAAGGACAATGCCCGAGTCTATCACCCTAAAGACTTAAGAACTCAGTATTACTTCAAAAAGAGAATGATGTGATTAACTGCCAAGAGACTTCTGAAACACAGAAAGAGGTCTAGGTTTTCCATGAAGCTATTCCTAGTCTTGCCTCGGACTGAGGAACATAGAGGGCAATACCAAAATACTCATGAGTCTTAAACTCTATCAGGAGACAGAACTACCTGTACATAAGGCCAAGTATCACTCCAGATCATTTCTTGACTATATAGGTAGTTAATTTCAAGGATTTTACCTAAAGTTCTGTAGCAGAAGAAGAGCAATAAAATAAAACTCTTTTCTACTATTATAAAAAATCAAAAACAAACAAACAAACTGATCTGCCTCTGTCCAGGTATGGTGACTCACACCTGTAATCCTCACACTTTGAGAAGCTAAAGAGAGGCAAGGATCACTTGAAGCTAGGAGTTTAAGAGCAGCCTGGGCAACATATTAAAACCTCATCTCTACAAAAAATAAGAAAAGTCAGCTGGGCATGATAGTGGGCACCTGTGGTCCAAGCTACTCAGGAGGCTGAAGCAGGAGGACTGCTTGAACCCAGATGTTTAAGGCTATTTGAGCTATGACTGAGCCACTGCACTCCTGCCTGGGGACCAGAGTGAGATCCTGTCTCAAAACAAAACAAAACTCAAGAACAACAACAAAACCTTACCAAAACCTGCCTCCTTCCCATGGCTGTTTGGGTTCCCTTGCAGCCAGGCAACTCGGCTAGCTCAGAGAGTCCCTGACCACACAGGACTCTGTAGATACTCAGTTTCTTTGAGACATCCCTTGTTAACCTGATGACTCTACTTGTTAAACTCCATATATTGTCGCTGTTCAAATAAACCAGTGACAGTAATACTATAAACACAAAAGTTTACAAAAGGCTATCGGAACAAGACTGATCAACAGAACGTTCTGTGCTGATGGAAATGCTTTCTGTCTGCACTGACACTGATGGGCACTAAACACATGAGACTACCGACCACTCAGGACGGACGAGTGCCACCCAACTAAATTCCAAGGATGACTTAATCTAAATTAATTCAAATATACATTGAAATTCCTGCTGTTCTTGATAGTAACCATGAAGACAAAAATATGACTCACACTTATACTCTGAAAATACTGTGACTCATCTGTTCAGAACAGCAGCTGCTCTGCTCACATGAATAGGCGTGCCTAACACGCCTGCCTCTGGTGCCCCCTGTAGGAGGATCTGCTCATGTGCAGTTCAGCTCTACCAGTGGTTTTATTACATTTAGCCTTAGATGATTTAAGTTATACTTCAACAAACAAAATTACTTCATATAAAAACACACAGAAAATCCTAATCCCCAAATCTATACTGAGATAGTACTACTGTCCAGAGCTACTCAGAATCATTCCAAACCATTCCAACCATTATTATTAACCAATGAGCTGAGGGTGTGGACAGACCACAGAAACCACACACTCAAGGGTGCTAACACCCCCGGGCACCAAGGAACTGACTACAGTGTGCACTTTCATAAATACAGAAAAGAGTACACATGCAAACAGGAATCAGAACTCAACAGGCCCCTAATGTTAATCCATCAGTCTTAGGTATACAGATCTACTTTCTGTTTTAAATTCCGTTAGAAGAGACTGGATATGCTCAGGGTGCTCTGGCCATAGACTGAGGCCACATCCCATTAGAGTATATCATCCTCCCCATAAAACTTTAATTAAGCTAAGGCCCATTATTTCCCCCTTACGTCCAACATTAGTACTAGCATTTTAAATTTTTTCATTAAAACAATTGTTTTGCTTTTGTTCCTGTGAGATTTTACTTGATGAGAATCACTGTATTCGGGCCAAGAAGAAAAAACAACGCAATTGCTGTGAAGCACTGACTGACCAGCAAGGCTGATTTACTAGTGAAAGCACAGTAGCCCTGCACACTGCACTTCACTCGAGATGACCAGCCACAGTCCTTTGGGTCATACTTTCAAATGTTCTACCAGTGTCTGCCAAGGACTCCATTCTCTAAATGGAGGATATGGAGCATTAAGGGAGGGTTCCACATCAGCTGGCTTTCATTTGGTAAGGCTTCCTTACAGGGGTCACTCCAAAGCACATATTATAGAAGAGAAGAATGTGGACTGCCAAAGAGAAGAGATCAAGAGGTCCAAGAGGTGCATGGTGTGGGGGAGCCTGAGGACAGAGCGAGCTACAGGAACAAAGTCTATGTGCCTGTGGGTGCAGAGAGGGAGGAAGACAAAGTCTACATCAGAATACTAGAAAACACTAGAAAACACAATACTAGGAATCAGCCACATATTTCAGAAACAAGTTTATTATTACAAGCTTCAAAGAACCCATGAATTTAAAACTGAATTCTCATTAAACTCTGGAAAAACAAAACCCTTAAAACCCTCCTAGAACTTACCAACTTTATAGTGTACACATCCTTCCAAATCCCCGACGGTTGTCCATCCCTGCTTCTTCTCTACTTCTGGATCATTGTGAAGTATTTTATTTCTTAACCAGGACAAATAGTAGACACGTAGCTTATCCTTTTTGCCTAGCAAAATAAATATAAATATTTTACATGCATATTCAGAAGTAGGTGTTATTTCATTAGTAACAAATAGTAACCAAAAGAAACTTCCTAGACAGTATCAATACCTAGAAGGAAACCATTTTGTATCAAAGTTTGACCAGAAACTTAATTCAAGCTATTCCATGAACTTTTGAAACCCCTATAAAAAAAAATTACCACTAGGAGTAGTAGGCCTGGGCTAGAGCAAAAGGTTTAAAAAACACAATGAACTCATAGTTATGTAGATAGTATCAATAAACCAAAAAGTAACACAAACACCTACAAACAATACCACAAATAGAGCTTAGAAAATGCTTTCAGGTGTATTACGCCACCTGATTATGAAAACTCTGGAGTAGCTATTAGCTCCCATTTTACAGATGAGCACAGAGGGGTTAAATCAATCACCCTATGCAAAGACTTAAATCTAGTAAAAGGAAGGTCACAAGTTAGAGATGTGTACCACTCAGCTGAAAAATTCAGTGGAGAAAGGACAATCTTTTTAACAAATGCTGCTGGAACAACTAGATAACCACATGCAAACCCCCCTGAAATCCTTACTGACTTTGAAACAGTCACGAAAATCAACTCAAAATAGATCACAGACCTAAGTGTGAAACACGAAGCTATATGCCCTATAGAAAATAACAGAAGAAAATGTAGGTGACCTTGGATTTAACGATGACTTTGTAGATACAATACCAAAAGAAAAACTCATGAAAGAATAAACTGATAGTTGGATTTCATTAAAATTAAAAATTTGGGGGGCAGCGCCTGTGGCTCAAAGGAGTAGGGCACCGACCCTATATGCCCGGAGGTGGCAGGTTCAAACCCAGCCCTGGCCAAAAACTGCAAAAAATAAATAAATAAATAAAAATAAAATAAAAATTTCTGTCCTGCAAAAGACACCATTAAAGAGAATGAACAGACAAGCCACACAAGCTAGGAGAAAATATTTGCAAAACATATATTTGATGAAAGACCTATATCCAAAGTATACAAAGAACTCTTACAAATCAACACTAAAAAATCAAACCCAAATACTAAATGGACTAAAGATCTGAGGATATACATGTATACCACACTTACGATACACAGATGGCAAATAAGCACATGAAAATATGCTCAGCATCATATATCATTAAAGAACTGCCAATTAAAATGTGGTAATAGGTGGCGCCTGTGGCTTAGTGGGTAGAGCGCCAGCCCCATATACTGAGGGTGGCAGGTTCGAACCTGGCCCTGGCCAAACTGCAACAACAATAACAAAGAAAAACAAAATAGTTGGGAGTTGTGGCAGAATCACCTGGGCCTAGGAGTTGGAGGTTGCTGTGAGCTGTGACAACACAGCGCTTTACCGAGGATGTCAGGATAAGACTCTGTCTTATAACAAAATAAATAAATAAAATAAAATAAAATGAGGTAACACCTGTTAGTTCCTACACACCTATCAGAATGGCTAACCTCTAAGACACTAGATTAAAAAAATGTTGTTTATTCAAAAAAAAGACAGCAGCAGCATCCACCAAAACCCACATCAGTTTACCACTGTATCAATTTAGTTCAATGAAGGTGAATATCAACCTTGCTTTTTCAAAGTACTGTGCAGAAGACAGTTCCTGGTGGCAGCAAGAGACATTTTCAAGAGTGCGTGTGTGCATGTGTGTGTGGGGTGTGGGGTGGGGTGTGTGTGTGTAATGTTCAGTTTCTTCACCAGGACAGAGGCTACAGGTATGGATTCTATTTGTGACAGTGACTGAGCTGTGCACTTTCTGTGTATATCATACTTCAACACAATTATAGCTTTTGAAGAACTTTTTGTGGGGAACTTTTTTCAGTATATGTTAAATGAAAAAAAGAAAGACCACATCATTTTATGTATAATGTGAGATGAAGAGGGAAATGCAAAAAGTTCATGAGCATTTTCTCTGAGAAGGGGATGACATGTTTTATTCTTCCTAAGTTTCTTCTGTTTTTAAAGCTTCCTACAACTGCCAAGTGTTACTTTGCACAGCTGTCAGCTGACTGTCGATTCCCATGAATCGCCTCATTTCACTGGATGGAAAAATGAAGTTTAAACCTTGAGCTACAGATTGGTTATTTTTTCTCTCATTATAAAAACTACCCCCCATCAACATCTTCTAAGTTTTAAATGGCTGGTTTCTCATTTAAGTAAAAAATAATGAAATTTCTGCATTTCAACAAACTTCTTTACTTAGAACCAAAAACATATACAAGAAGTACAATTAACTGGAAGTAAATCTGTTATATATAAAGAAATACAACAAACCCACACTAGCAGATAATTACATCAAAAGCACTGGGGGCATCACAAGGCCTACTTAAATCTTGTAACTCTGCATACCCTCTGATCTGGCAATAATGTAAATTTTAGGAAATTACAATATATGCAACATGGTATGCATTCAAAGTTCAATTAAACTACAAGGATATTTGTGAAAAACGTTTACATGAGAGAAAGAAAACAGTATAACTTGGAGGGCAATGACAGAAGATAAATAAATTTTAATACATCTAAGCAAGAAAACACTTTCTAGGCATATAAGATGTATGGATACTATGGGGAAATGTTTAATGGCACTGAAAAGGCAGGTTACCTGGTTTGGACAATCAGGCATGGATGGAATACACCTGAACTTCAGGACAGTGGTCGCCGTGGGTAGGCAGATGGTGGCAGGACACTCAGTATGTGTACAACGGTGTATTGCGAAATTTATTACATCTAGTCAGTACATGGGGGGCCACTATTCCTCATTATTATTCTCCATATGTTTGAAATATCGCATAACCATTTTTACTCAGACTTTTTTCCTTAAATATGTATACAGAGTGTGGTACATGCTTAAAAGACTGGAAGCTAAAAATTTAAAACTTAATAGAAGTTCTCTCTGCATAATTTTGCTTTTTATTTCTTATAGTTGCTTTTCTTCAGTGGTTTCTTAATTTCTAAAATGAACAGGGTGACACTTGTGGCTCAGTGAATAGGGCACCAGCTTCATAGACCTAGGGTAGCAGGTTCAAACCCAGCCCCGGCCAAACTGCAACAAAAAAATAGCCGGGTGTTGTGATGGGCGCCTGTGGTCCCAGCTACGCGGTAAGCTGAGGCAAGAGAATCGCCTAAGCTTAAGAGCTGGAGGTTGCTGTGAGCTATGATGCCACAGCACTCTACCAAGGGCAACACAGGAGACTGTCTCTTAAAAAAAAAAATTAAAAAATAAAATGAACATATATAATTTATACAAAGAAAAATGGTCTTTTTAAAAAGAAGAAACTTACAGTGTTAAGTATTGAGAAAAGGATAAAAAATATAATACAATAATGGCAAAGAACAGTTCCTTTTGCACATGGAAGTGGCAGGGGAGTGGACAGACTACACACCGGGTAAGGTGAATGAAACCTCACCAACAACAGAGTGTGAGCCGGTAGGGGAGACAGCTCTCTGGAAAAGCCACAGGTCACGTGTGCATGTGTGTGTCACCTCAGTACATCATCTTCCTTTCTCATTACTATAAAATCGTGATGCAGCAGTACCTTGTCTAACCAGTACATCAGAGAACAAATGAGGTAACTGCAGGTTAGTGTGTGAGCTTGAATATATATATTTTTAAGATAAGAGTCTCAAGCTGTCACCTAGGGTAGAGTACCATGGTGTCACAGCTTAAAACAACCTCCAACTTTTGGGCTTAAGTGATTCTCTTGCCTCAGCCGCCCAAGTAGCTGGCACTACAGGCACCCAGGACAACACCCAGTTATTTTTTTGTTGCAGTTGTTATTGTTGTTTAGCAGGCCCAAGCCAGGCTTGAACCCACCAGCCTGAAAGTATGTGGCTAGTGCCCTGCTCACTGAGCTACAGGCACCGAACCAAGCTTGAATATTTTTAGACAGTGTCATATGTTCTGCTTTACTAAACACATACTTACCAGATATTGTCACCAAGACGTTCAAGCCCTCGAGTACATCCATCTGCTGAAACCGTCTCCGGCTGATCAGAGGGTACACCTTCCCTTGGCCGCTCCTGTCCAGCAGCATCAGGCCGCTCTCTGTACCAACTAGCAAATTCACTCCTGGTTCAGGGACAGAAAAAGGCCTTAATTTTAGCCTATACCTGGCAAATAGCTTAATTGTAAAGAAAAAGTAACATCATCTATGTGGGGGAAAAGTGCAGCTTCCTTAATTCACCCAGAAAAGAAATGCTTCAAATAGTTAGAGGTTAATGCAACCAAACCATCACCCCGTAGGAATAATAACCCTCAGGGGAAGAACAGGGAGGCCTCACCCCCTCTACTTCCTTAACAAACCATCAGTTTCCAAGTTTTCTTCAGTTGCCCCAGAACACTGTAAGCTCACTCTTTCTTTCAGCCTTACAGATTCAGCATCTAATCGCACACACTACAAATTGGAACAAACCTTTACATGATACTATGGTTTTCTTTGTGCTTCTTTCACCTTATTTTCATTGGCAAACTTCTGGAATGGCCCACAGACAGCCCTCCTCAAAATAAGGCACCATTATTCCTATGGGGTGATGGTTTGGTTGTTAAGCTATGACTTGGCTTCTATCACTCAGTTTAAGCTTTTCTTAAAGACCACTGTCCACCATTAAGAAAGGACTGCACTCAATTCTCTTGTCCCTTCATATTTTAGGAGTACTGAAATACCGCGATCTCCCCGGGCAACCTCCGTGCTCTCTGACCACATACTGTCAGAGTTTTTCTCCTCTTCTGCTGCAGTGTGAAGTCTCCTTGTTTTTAGGCACCTCCTCTGCCTTCTTAAGGTGACATTTCTGATGCTGCCTATCCCACCTATGCTTGAGCAGAACCTCACAACTGGTAAAACTAATCCATTCTGCAATCTTGCTTCTCTACCCACTCAGATTTCTCACTTTTGCCATTTCCATTAACAGTACCATCCTCTCCCACAGCTGCAAATGAGCCAAACTAGCTACCACGTCCAGACGAGACCTCCTCTTCTCTTTCCCTCCTTCCCCTTTGTGCGGCTCTCATCACACTGTTCAGGCTTTGGCAGCCTTTTAACTGATGGAAGGAGGCCTTGGCTGAGGTGGTTAAAACAGTCTCTTTCTACTTTCTTATGACTGCACATCAAATCAATCTTAAAGTCCGAAAATACTCATTGAGTCAGGCCCTATCGTCAAAACACACACTCCACGTAGGAGAAGTTCTAAGAGTATCAGGCTGTCCCTTGAACCAACTTCTCCCTCTTTTATTATTCATTGAATTCACCAAATCTCTTGGTTCCTTGGTCAGGAACCTTCATTGTCTGCACTGCCCTTTAACATGCAGCACAGACTACCTTATACTCCCAGGGAACTGGGCAAATACATGTTGGCCCTGACTCCCTAAAATGGGTAATAAACTCACTGACACAAGGAATAAAGTATTTGGGCTTTTACTAATTAATTAATCAGTATTTTCAGGCAGATGGAATAACAGAGAAGAATATCCTGGCATGTGTGTATACACATTCACCCATCTACCCTTATTTACAGAGAATCTGAAATAAATAGCTGTGAAGGCAACAAGGCAACAGCTCTCCTAAGCCCTCTCTCAGCGCTGTGTCTGTGCCATAATGATGGTTATCACCTCAACATTTAGAGGACAGTGTCTACTCAAGCAATCCTTGTGAAGAAACAGAAAGCACCTTTGAGGGCCCTGGGGGAGAGCAGAGAACTTGGAATTTACATCTGTGCTGACATTGCCATGCAAACTCCAATGAGAACTGCAGAGACTAAGGTCACACAAGGATGACAGAAATGTATCAAAGAACCACAGGCTCTCAACTATCACAATACCGTACCCTCAGTCCTCAGAAAATGCAAGAAACAAAGAAATCTCTAAGAAGTCAAGGGATAGGCAGCTACAGTTTCTGATAATAGTATGACTTGTTAAAAGTCCCCCATTAAAAATCTACTACTCAACACACAAAGCCAGTCTCCACCTTGTCCTTGTACCAACGGTGCGTGTTTCACAAGAGGATCCCTATGCACACACATCCACCCCATCACAAGTGCTCTTTGTCTAGTGCTATCTAAGACTGGTTTGCTGGAGTCTGACACAACTCTACAAAACAGCTCCAGAAAATCTGAGGGAAGCCTCTGGAATTTGGAAGAAAAGAGAAGGCCTGAGAGTTCATAACTACCTGAACTTCCCATTCAGAGTGAGCTTTAAAATAAAAGTAAACAAGAACTCCCCCAAATGACCATTATGTACAGCATACGGAAAAAGGCTCATAGACACATATGGTTTCTTCTATCGTCTATAATTAAGATCTTTAGAATTGTCTATGTGACATAAATGTCCTCTGTGGTGTCCATAAGCCAATGGCCACATCTGGCTACTGAGTATGTGATACGTGGCTGGTGCAACTGAACAAATGCATTTTCTATGTTAATTCATTTAGATTTAAATAGCTAATGAGGCAGTAAGTGCTGTGACACACAGTGCAGCGATGGATGATACTGACATTTTATAAATCAGGGAACATCGTAACACTGAATTAGCACTTACGGCCTTGTACTTTTTAAACTGATAGCAAGTCATTATGTTTTTATGAGCTTTCTTCTTTAATGTAACTATCATACTTATCAGGTAATGATTTAATGCTAAGAGAAAAAAACTGCGGTACAATTCAAAAACAAATTTACTATCTGTATAAGAAAAATTAATATTTAATATATGTAATATGCTATGCTCATGTTCATATCGTTTATTTTTGATATTGACCGTTTTGCCCTGACTACGTCCCTATCGTATCTGAACGTGACCCTTAGTATTTCCCCTGCATATACTTACTAAGCGAGGTGAGTTTGCTTAGAAGTTATTTGCTTTCAATTAGGAGACACAAGTTCAAGAGATTTGTTGTACAACACAATGACTATAAGTAATAAAAATATATTGTATTCTTGGGGAAAAAAAAAGATGTTATTTGCAGAAAAGACAATCATTTACTGATAGAGCTGCTGCGAAAGAGTTCATTCTAAAATTCTATTCTGTAAATTATTTCAATATATTCAGGCTTCAATATCAAGTAGATTTAAAAAAAAAAATCCTCTGTTAAGAATCTGGTAGTAACTACACAAAATATTAGCCTCATGAAGAAATCCTATTCTTTATGGTTTACAAAAATAAACAGCACATAAACACCATCCTCAAGATTTTACACTAAGAATGAAGAAATAACAAATGAAGTTGAAAAATATTTTCAAATACACAGAAATTCAGGTTATTTTGACCCTTGACCCTTATTCTTTACTTTCTAATTCTCCTTGATATATTTCCAAGAAATGTATAATTCTGAAAAGTAACCACCTTGGAAATTATGGGCCTATTAAAAAAAAAAAAAAACTGAGTTGCATGCAGCAATAATTTTTTGTAAATATACTTTTTAACCTTTTGACTATTAGATATAATTAAATAATGCTTAGGGCCCCCTACCCTAATTATTCTACTAAGAGTTTATAATTGTGTTTACAAGAATCCTCTGTAGGTCAATGGAAAAAATGTCTAAGACTTCTCCATGATTTAAACTTCCTTTAAGGCCAGCACAGTGGCTTGTGCCTATAACCCCAGCAAGTTGGGAGCCCAGAGAGAGGATTGCCTGAGGCCAGGAGTTTGAGACCAGCCTGTGAAACTTTGTGAGACTCCATCTTTACAAAAGAAACATTTTTGAATTAAGCTAGGCATGGTGGCATGTGCCTATAGCTCCAGCTACTCACTTAGGAAGCTGAAACAGAGGATTGCTTGAGCCCAGGAGTTTTAAAGTACAAACCATCGCACTGTAGTTGAAGTGCACGACCATTGCACTGTAGTTGAGCCTGAGCAACAGAATGACACCCTTTCTAAAAAAAAAAAACCCCTTAAATTCTATGATCAATATGATATTACAGGCAAAACTTTATATAGGAAGAACAAATAATTAATTATAAATATGAGAATGGAAAAATCATGTTCAAAAAGATGTGCTAAAATTACCCCAGCTCCAACAGGAGAAAACTGCCCTATTAAAATATAAATATATAGCAATTTACAGAGTCAGTTACATGGTTACAAAAGAATGGTTGCTATAAACACTTCTAAGGTAATTAAAAAAAAAATCTACATGTGAATTTTACCACTCCAACATAATGCTGTGTATAATGTATTCTGAATGTAGGGCTACAGCTCTCACAGTAGATCTATTAACTTTTCTGAGTCCAGGTCTTTAAGAGACTTACTTTCAACTTACAAGGTACCTATGACTGCTACCAGCAACAGTGTAAGAAGATGTGCCACTGGGGTGCCCCTACCCAAGAAGCATCTTAAATACACTGACTTAGAGAAACACACTTTGAGATTAAGTCACTCCCATCTATTCTCTTAACATAATAAAAGAAAGTTTCATGGCAGTTTTAAAAACACAGATTCCAGATACTCTCCTATTTTTCTTAGAAATACTGAATAATTAGATAAAGAAGGTTTAAGATGGTTTTTAAGAAGTCTTTCTAGTTAATAAAATGTCACTTAACACCTAGAAGGGGGTCCAACACTTTCCAGGAATTAGAGAAATAAAAAATGAGTATAAGATTATTAACCAAATGTAACTATTTTGTATAAAAATGACATCATCTGCTAATCTGCACTATTAATTTCAAAAGAACTGACATCTTTAACACTATCTCTCTATCAAACATAGCTTAACATGTTTTTTGGCAAACACTCTCATGAAAGGCCTTTAATATAAACAAAAATGATGAGGCTCCATTCCCTGTGGTGAACGAACAGCAGCAACGTGCCAGTGACAATGCTGCTCCTGGTGCTTTCACAAGATGCCCAGTCACCTAAATTACTAAGATTACCTTTACCTAGGAAGTTAATAAGGAAAAGGCTTTATGGCATGATCACTGGGGGCTTTAAAACACTCTTTCATAGCGACAAGGGCAGAAATCCAGATCCCAAAGGGTCACAGAGTAGTAGACAGGTGTGTCTGTCATGGTACAGACAATACTTAAAGTGCTGGGCAAGAAGCGGAAGAGGGGCTCCCGAGAGTGACGAGAGAACAGTCGAGAACAGGGAAAAGTCAACAAGGTGGAGGAGGATGAACGTGCGAGGCTCCATGTATCAAATAACAGGCCCCCTCTTCAATGAGGAAAATGGTCTGTTTCATCTTTTTACTTTTCTTCTTCACGTGAAGAGATGGACATAAGTCATGCTTTCCAACATACCACTGCTGGACAGAGTCCAAGTACACACGTGTACTGCATCATTCCATCAACGCGCCACTCGGCCTAAGGAGATGGGCATCACAGGTATCTTCCACCTCATCACCATCTCCTCAAAACATGCCCACACTATTTAAAGTAGTACTTCTCTAAAAGACCAGCAAGCCCTTCAGTGCAAAAACAAAAGAGTCAGAGCAGCAGCAAGACACCTACCCCATAAGGCAGCACACAGAATCTCAGAGTTAAACCTCTTCTTGTATTTACGAATCTCTGGGGTGTCACTCTGTGGCCTCGTGTTGGTGGGGTTCACATTGACCACTGAGCCTTTCCGAGTAGGATCTTGCCTTATGGCTTCTGGTCTCATTCCATCACAGGAAAACCCCACTGTAACATAATACATAGGAAATTATTTTCTGTACACATGCAATCCACGAATGCCCCCCTCCCCCACACCTCAAGCAAACATTCATAGGCCATAACTGACACCATGTCAAGGAGAAGTAATTTATAAGAAATGTATATGGAAAAAGGAAACTGAGTATGCAGCTCATTGCAACTAGTGGGACGGGGGTTTGGACCCAAGGTCTCTGCCCGTGAACAATCAGCAGGCCATGCCTAAACCACTCGGAAAGCAACTCAAAATGACCAAGTCCTGTTTGTCAGCTGCTTTCTTGTTGCTACTGTACTTACCCACAGAAGTCACTGTTGTTCCACTAGATGGAGAAATTTGTAGTAATCTGGGGTCTATAAAAGGTGTAAAGGAGGAGGAAGATTTGTGTTTCTGGAGTGTGCTACTAGCGGACTGAGTCTGCAATGTAAATTTCAATTTTATTAATATAAATGACATTTAAAAAATAAACATTAAAACACATTTCAACTTCTACACTGCACCATTTCCCCGTACAAAGCCCTATCCCCTCTCACATCATTCCCCAAAAGTGCTCTGCAGGGAGCTTCCCCGTGGGCACAGCACACCCAGAACAGGTGCTACTTTATTCAGAACCACTGCAGGAGCCACATCTCTGTCAGACGCTGCTCACCTACGACAGTGATGCTGCAAGCTACCGATAAAACCTACACTTCATGCTCCCAGCTTTCTTTTTAAAATAAATAATTACAATGGAAACTCCCAAAGAAGGCCTAAATATTTTGATCTCAATTCACCAATTTCTGAATTTACTCTTTTACCCCCAAAAGTTAATCTATGTGGGAATACTGGCAAAATTTAATTTTACTTTTTTTAAGTTGAGCCTCTTGCCAGAAAGCTACAGAAGCTTTGGCTACCGTTATTTTAAGTGCATCACCATTAAACCCATACCAAACAGGAGCTCATTAGTGAAAGGTGCAAACAACACAACAAGGCACATCTTTTTGAATTTTTAGGAGCACTAGTGTTTTGGTTAATAATGTAACTTAAGACAAAAAAAACACAAAGAAAGTGAAACAAATTGTTAAGTGGAAATGTAATGACAATTAAAAACAAAACAAACAGAAAAATAAATAAACTTGCCAGTTTAGTGAGTTAAAGGTTGTAGTAAAATACTGAACAGTAGAGCAAAATGGAGCAAAATTTAAAATATAAGTATAAGGAGGAATGTGAGCGTAGGTGGAATATATATCTCGGGAGAAAAAAGAACATGTCTGATCTACTGTTTTTATCCCGTACCATCTCACTCCCTCCACAGGCATCCGACAGCCACTACATCTGAGAAGCCAGGCCCTCTTAGCTCCCCACCCACGTGGCAGGCTTCCCTCCCTATCCCCAGAGTCAGTGGCCAATCCAGCTGAAGGCTAATCTGATGTGGAAGCTAGGAAGCAGTCAACTTGTCCCTGCTCCTTAGGAGGAAAGGATTTTTGTGATTCTAACAAAAGAACCAATCTAGGAGTGAGCAGTCAGTTAAGTGCTTCACATTAACAAGACAGGCTGAAGCTACACATCAGTTTCAACCTCCCTCAACTGTTAGATAAATGCATTTAAACCCAAGCCTCATGTGGAATCGAATCACTTGTTTAATTAAATGCGGGGTGTTTAAGGTGGGCTCTGTTACTGTACTTGGGGCATAAGCCTGTTCAAAGAGCAAAGGATCATCCAGCTAGCACCCAGACCGAGCACCACAGCCAAGACTTGGAAGTAAAACACAGGATTTCTCAAACAAAAGTTTAAATAAAAACTGCTCATATCTTTGTCCTTGCTTAACATCCTAATTTTCTAGGTTTCCCCCCCCCAAAAGATTTAGCTTCTTAAACTGGGTGATTGTGAATTTCAAGGAAAGAAATCCTTTTCACAAGGTCGGTGAAAACAAGGTAAGAGTGATTAATCAACCACTACCCCTCAAAAAGAGAAAAAAAAAAAAAATCCAGCCCTGGTTTGAAAGATGTCCTACTCCTGTCCAGGATACGTCTGTCTAGGTAAGTCCAAGTCGGCTTAACCAAATTTTCCTATACTTTATTTATTAAATAAAAAGAATGAAAAAGGCAGAATCCACAAATGATTATAAATTTCATGCCAAATACATAATGTGTCTGGGAACACAGCAATCATTTTATTTAGATTAAAAAAAATAAACTGAATAAAGAAAGCCATGCAACTACACTTATCCAGAAAAAAGTAAACAGTGAACTGGCAAGTTTGGAGGGAAGTTGATCCAGGGTTAAGGGACTTGTATGCAGATCTGAAACATGTTACTTGGGGTTGGGGAGACGGACAGGTGACAGAAAGCAGGGTGGGTAGGGAAGGGGGGTGTTGGGGAGGTCTCTGCAAACTAGCTCCTAGGCAGTGCTGGTCTAACCCCAGGAAAGCGGCCAGCTGTGGTGCGAGACATACCTCATTAGCAGTGAGCTTGTCCTGGGGTGTCTGTGGGGACATGGTGGGTGTCGGCTGGCTGGAGGATGGGGAGGAGGAGGTGGAGGAAGTGGAGGAGGAATGGCTTTGCTGTAAGAGATCTGGCAAGAGGTGAATGCGACCGGCAAAGCCATTGCTCTCATGATGGCTGGCACGCTTTTGGTCAACTGTACTCTGTAGAAAAAACAGGCACACTTGTCTCGCTCAAGCACTGCTGAAATTGCCTACAACTCTACTGATACGTTAAAGTGCTGTGTGATTTTTCAAAGTCTGCTAAATTATCAAGGGAAAACCAAGGAAATAAGCCTGAATTACTCACACTTCCTTGCTGAATGCCTAAGTTGAGCCAACAGAATTCCAAGTACTTCATCTGGTGGCTACACAACTCAAGTAGTGAACGTTTAACGTGGTCTCTCTGTTGTACTAATTCTATTACCAAAACCACTGTCCCCTTTCTTTTTCCTTTTACATCTTCCTGTCAAAAGGTCTAGAAAGTACCCACGGCTTCTCTGAATCCTGGTCCTTTCCAGTTCTTCCTACTTTCCATCTAAATGCATGGCCAGAGCATGAGACACACTCAGGGCAAAGGCCAAAATGACAGATACGTGTCCTGTCCTACTGAAATGAGAAGCACATCACTTTAATTAGGCCTAAGTTAAGAAATTTACAGACACTTGTAAAAGTCAGTGATCCAAACTGAGCACATCTGGGTGGCACACATTTAATTACTCAACAGGAGAGAAAACTAACATTTTGGTAGACAGAAGAATGACCTCCCAACCCTTGGCTCTCCAGGTCTCTGGGGCTGTGATGATGCTCGCCCTGCCCAGCTCACCCACTACCCCAGTGGCAGGTCAGGCGCGTGGGCTGAGCACGCTCTGCAGGGCCACCGTGACTGCTCTGCTGCACCAGACATGCCTCCTCACTCTGCACGCCTGCTAAGAAGGCCCGTGGCTCTTCTACCACTCAGACACAGACTGTGAGACTCAGCGCAGTGCTTGAATGAGGGCTGCCGCAGACATGCAGGGAGCAGCGATGTGGGGTGAGGACTAGGTGCCACCTTCCAGCATGCAGCACACACCTGCCTCCCTAGCCCCCAACACTCGACACTCTGCCCTCTGGGACTTGTTAACATGAAAACAGATGGTGATGTAGAAACAGCATGAGTGAGTGAATGAGCAAGTGGGTTAATGACTACAGGAGAAGCTCAGCCTCTGACAACAGAAAGACACGGGTACCTGGCGGACGATCAGAGTGCCCTCCTTAGATGGCGTCATGGCGGGCTCACTTTCTACATCATCATGGACAATCATGGTTTTCACAGATTCTGTTTCACCATTGCTCAAATTCAGAGATGACCTATGGAAAGGGAAAAATCCAGAAATGAAGGGCCTTCACCCCACAATCGAGGACAGCATTTTCTTAAGGTCATAAAATAAGATGAAGCTACAGGTAACAAGTCTGCTTAAAAACAAACAAAAGAACAAAAGCTTAGTTTTCTCTCTTTAACAACAACAAAAAATTAGGACAAATAGTTGTGGTTAATTAAAGTAGTTCTACCACACTAAAATTTCCCTTTCTTCATATCCTCAAATTGAAAGGTAAAAATAAAGCCCATGCTGGGGTGCTAGGGGAAGAGGGGAGAACACAAAGTAACTAGATGTTCGCGCATGAGACTGTGTGACAGGTTTAGAAAACAGTGGCTGGTTGCGGGTGGGGGGAGGCTAAGAGGGAAACTCTCATCCTCTGCAAAACAGACTAAAAACTGACGCTGCTCTGGTGTCCTCTGGTCCCGAGGTGGACTCATCAGCCCCTTCTTGTTCCACGTCATCGTCCTCCTCGTCTGTTGTCCCCGACTCCTCACTGGACGAGGAGTAGTCTGTCACTTTGTGAGGGGGCCGCACATCTTCTACTGCTCGAAGCTCTTTGGCCAGTGCAGTTAAATCCTAAGACACAGACAGAAAAAGGAGAGTAAGGTGGGGGGCGAGGCAGTGGGAGAGAACAGGAAAGAATGAGTTCTCTAACAATAAAGGCCCACAATGTTAGTTTTATCAAATTGTTTTGCAATTTACCAGTTTCATATTAAGGGGAGCTTTTATAGCTCTTGACGGGGAAAAAAAAA